AGCTGTCAGCACTGAGCCCGATGCGGGGCTTGAGCTCACGGACCGCGAGATCATGACCTGAGCCGAAGTCGGGCGCTTAACTGACTGAGCCACCCAGGCGCCCCGCGTTTTGCTTTTAAAAAACACATTTGATAAAAATCCACCCAAATTTATTTGTGATTTCCAGAAGTACAAAGCACCACTTAGTCTCTACCTATGGTTATCATGAATTTTAAGTTGTCAATCTGTCAGATCTGCTCTCAAATTAAAAGTCTGTGTGTCAGTGTTCAGTGTTACCAGAAGATAACCATAGCTTCCATTTCATTGAGTTTTTATCGAGTGCCCAGCACTGAGCTGTGCGCTTCGTGTTCATCGTCTCATTTGATTCTTACCACAAGTTTGCAGTGAGGGAACTACAGCTAAGAGTGTAACTGGCTCCTCACAGGGGCCCTGCTAGTGGGTGGAGCAGGGGGTCCGAGCAGGGGCCTCACTGACTGCTGATCCCTTGCCTCCCCTGCCAGGCAGCCTGTGTCTCTAAAGCAGATGAGTGAGGTTATGTTTACCCTACTTTAACTCCTAGTGGTACATTCATGAATTAGAACTGGAATCACAAGGGTCACTGCAATTGCTTTTCTCTTGCTCCTTTTGGTTCTACGTGTTTGTAAATAGCCAGCCCTATGAAAGGCATTGTGTTGTTCCAAGTTCTGAGAGGAATACTTTACACTCTTTTCCTTCTATAGTCTCCATATTACAATTCAAACGGAGATAGTCATCTTCAAATGAGGATGAGCTCAGTTGAGGGACCGATCTAGAAAGTACTATTTGTAATGACCTTTGTTGGATGAGTTTGATTTCACCAGGCTGAGAACAAGGAAAACTGTCATGTAGCATCTTGTAGTTAATTATTCCTGTAGCATCTTTTGGTTACTTGTACTTAGTGTGGGTTAACATTTAAATAGTTGTATACTACCGCACAAAGTGAGCATCAACTTAAAATACTGAAATATTCGTGGGGGGAAGAGTGGCAGAGGGAGGAGGGTGATGTGCCGATCTGTGACTTCCATTATAGATTAGAGCGCAGGGGAGTTGTCCACCATCAGAAGTCATACTCCGTAAGGGACAGGGTATTTGTTTTACCTGAAATTACATTAAGGAGCAGCTTACTAGCATATAACACAGACCTCAGAAGTGTAGAACGTTAGTTAACTGTAATGGAGAGGTTAGATAGATTCCGATCAGTTTCAGCCCTTACATTCATTGATTGCTGTCCTTTAGGTACTGCTTGTAAATTGATTTTGTAATCATGCCAAATTAACAAAAGCATTTTGGAAATTCGCAAGTACAGCATGGGTTGGGTTGGGTTTTCGCATATACTTCCTTCTAAGACACTTGTTTCTGCTTCTGTAAGTCATTCTGTCCCAAGGCTCTAAGATGCCTCCCAAAACCCAGCCTGTCTGTAGAATGGGTGGGATTTTCAGCATTCTTCTTCTATTGAAATAAAATAAAATGCTCAAGAAAAAGCTTTAAAAAGAGCTCCAACAGCTTGTTAACAGAGAAGAATTGAGTGAGTGGTACTTGGTAGTTAACTAGCTACAATCTTGTAGAAGATCTATCTCCAGTCCATCCGGGTTGGTCTAGGAAAGGCATGGTAAACTCAGGGTGAACTGAATTTGTGGTTTCTGCATCTTCACCTATAATTTAATACAGACTTCCCAGGTAACGGAACGTAATCGGTACTCCTCGTACACATATCAATGTCAGTTATGATCACCATTTTGCTATCTTTTGCCCAAAGAAAAATTCACCAAGAGTGTGTTTCTTTTGTATAATACACATTGGTTTGGAAAAGCCTATAATAGTCAAAATCCTGTCTGTATGAAAATACATTTAAAATAATTAGCAATTGTTCCTGCCCGTGCAAAGACATGCTATTAAAGCTGTTGACATCACATGTCCTGCACGATGAAAAATTATAACTGTCATGGAGTCCAATCTTTCTTACATACAGAGCTTTATATATGTACAATTCTACTAGCTCATATTTTAGAGGAAAGTCCAGATATTTAAAAACGAAAAATCAGAACTGTTATATTTCTATAAAATCTTATTTGTAAAAAAATCCTTTTAAATATGAAAAGCGAGTGTCTCTTTACTTTTAAAATGTTTCAGTTGCATAAAGTTAGAATTATGCTCATTTAATCCGATGCCCCTAAGGAAACCGTTGTTATCATTTTGGTAAATAGCTGTGCGGAAGGTTATCATTCCAAAATTTCTTGACTTTTTCAAACCCTATTCAGAAGAGACAAAATGAACTTAATTAAAAGGGAAGAATTACAGGTAGATTGAAGAGTTGTCAGGACTGAATCTTAATGTATAGCAGCGTTTGTGCCCTTTTTATGGTTCATGTCTATACATGTTGATTTTTGTAGCTACACGATTTTTTTTTATGTGTATGTCAGACATTTAGTTCTGTGCTGTCCATTACAATAGGCACAAGCCACATGTGGCTATTGAGCACTTGAAGTATAGCTGGTCCAAATTGAGATGTGCTGTAAGTGTGATATATATATAGTGGAGTTCAAAGACGGTACAAAAGGAAGAATGTAACGAACCTCAGTGTTTTTTATATTGATTACATGTTACAATGACAACATTTTGGATACAGCGAATTAAATAAAATACTACATTTAATTAAACTTGTTCCTATTTTTTAATGTGGTTGCTAGAAAATTTTAAATCACATATGAAGCTTGCATTTGTGACCCACGATGTATTTCTGTTGGACAGTCTAGTCCAGATCATCTATCTGTTGACATATTTATGTTTTAGTAATAGCATCATCTTCTCATAAAATCCTGTTCGATAACTTTCAACTATAACCTCTGATTTTATTTTCTTACATTTCAAATGCTGTTTTTCAACATGATCTTTTGATTCTTTTTTTTTTTTCTTTTTTTTCATCCCAGTACAGAGATACTTTAAACTGCCTCTCGCTTTGATACTAGTAAGTCTCCTAGGAATTTAAATAGGCCTCTGTGAAAGCAATACTTGAGCCTCATTCATATGTTCAAGTTAGGTCATTATTCCTAATAATGGCTTTAAGTGCTTAGATACATCAGCACTTCGTGTCTTGAATTGCTTGTCATTTCTTTATGAAGATGTTTCAAGAACTTGCTCCATGCAATCCCTTATTTCATTGTTTTCTAGCAAAAAGTAACATAACCTTTTATTAGTTTGTTGTTGGGAGTCCGAAGAAGAAAAGCCTTTTTATTCGCAAAAACAAAATGTATTTCCAGGTAGTGAGAATCTAAAGAGCAAAATGAGTCATGAGTGATAGTCCTGCGGAAGTTATTTTCTTAAATAAATCATGAATGCCCTGGCAATCTGCCAGTAGCTTTAACCTCTGTTTTATTTTCCCATTATACTTGGGTCCAGGTTGTCATCAGCTACCATGAGGAAACCTGTGTAATTCCTAGAGAGAGAAAAGTTGCACTGTTAGACTTAATAGTATGGTAGTCATGGAAGCATCAGTCCTCTTCATCAAGGCAATTCAGATTTGATTATTGTAGAACTGTGTTGAATACCAAACCAGTGGAGTAGTAGCTGGAGCTAAATCAAGGGATTGTCATTTTTGTCAGATGATTAGGGCTGACTTGGAAGAGATATGAAAGGGTTGAGCTGTGTAAATATTCTCTTTTCAGCAGAAAAAGAAAAGGTCCATCATGGCCATTAAGATGCAGATTGTTAGCTTGATGAATTTCAAACTATTTAACCTTAGCAATTATACACCCCCGCCTACATACAAGTATATCAGTGCCTTGGGATTATGGCTCCAAGGATTGATATCGAAGTGTATTGGTAATTTTCTATTAAGATGAAATGAAGCCTTTCTATGTCTAGATAGAGCTCTCAGAGGACAAGGCATGCTCTAGTTCAAAGTCCTATTCATTAACCTGAATTATAAGTTCAGGTAAACCCTGGAACACTTATTTATAAGTTTTGTCAAACTTTTTCATGAAAAATATATGTAATTTAACATTTTAGAGATGGTATTCGTTTTAATTATGATATTAACATAGTAACCGTTTTATAAACTAGAATTTATTTAATTTTTATTTGCCTGTGAGAGACTTGATACATTTAAATAATGGACACATTAAACGATGGTAACATATTTAAATTGACAAACCTGACCTAATGATTTCAGGACATTTTTGCAATGTTTATGGATACTATCAAATGCCAGAAAGGCCAGTGTATTGCTGTTGGTATGAAAATGTGCATTGGTCAGTTTGATTTTCTATTTTGATGGTACTCTGCTAATATTTCCACTACTTTGGTACTTGTTAAACTCGTAAATAAGAACAGATGACATAGAAATTTCTAACTTTAAAAGAATTGCTGAATTCTAAAATAACACATTCGTTTTTGGAGAAGACTCGGTGCGCCATCTAGTGGGCATGTTTAGCATTCTGGTTATCAAAAACTAACAGCGATTTTTTTACTCTTCCTCCAAAAGGCAGCTTTCTTAACACTTTGTATCTCTCAGGCATTAGGCCTAGATTGTTCTTGTGTTACATCTCATATAATTTTTCAGTTTTGTCATAATTTTATCTAGTTGTATTTTGGAAAGTCATATTCAAAGTGATCAGAATCATCAGAAATAAATCTACTTATCTTGAGTACTGAGAAATGTATAGAATTGTTGAATCATTATATTGTCCATCTGAAACTAATATAACACAGTACATTAAGTATGCTTACAAAAATCTAATGACAGAAATAAATCTTTGTGAACTTTGAGACAGGTAGAAATAAAATCTATAAGATAATTTCAGTGTTTAATCACGACTAAGATCAGTTAAGGTAAACTTCAACAATGAAAGCAAAACCCAAGCATGCTAACTATTGAACTTTGTTATCATACGTATTCTTTCTACAAAAACAGTTGTCTTTGTTCTTTTATGTCTTAATGTGTAATTTAAATAGCTTTATACATTTAAATTTCTTTTTTTCTGTAGAGAAATCCAAGACCAGTGACTTACCAATTTCATCCAAATTTAGATTATTACAAAGCACGGGGAGCAGACCTCATGAATAAAAGCCGGTAAGTGCCCTTTCTCTGATGAAAGTTACAAGCCACAAAGATATTCTCTGAGATTTTCAGGAATTTTTACACATTTTGTGACAATGAATTTAGAGATTTTAGTATATCAGTGGGCAATGACATCTTTATTAAATAAATCATCTGAGTTTTTTTTTAAGGCATGAGAAAATGTATACATTGATGTCAGTGGTAAGAAGAAAAATAGAAGAGTATTTGTTATAATTTGAAGTTAGGCAACTTCATTTTTCTAACACTAATAAACCTGAATAAATTGCGCCTTTATCTCTTTCCAGATCCTTGCTGTTGATTGAAAAGAGGCAGTTCTATAATATATTTTTAAATTATTTCAGTAACAAAATTAAAATTGGGTTTCCCAACTGTCTTTAGAACTACACAATATGCTTATAAATGCATCTTGTGTGTGCATTTGTGATTACATACATAGAAATTTTAAGGGTCACTGTAGGAATAAAAAAACATTAAAATTCTACTTTTAAAAGAAATTAACATTGGCATAAAGGGTTGATGAACAGTTGTGTTCTTTCATAATACTGTACTCAGATGTCTCAAGAGTTAACTTGTCAAACCAGAACCATCTCAAATTAGAATGTAATTTCAAAGTTTACTCTGGAAGACTAAAATGTTAGTAATGATAAATGCTGCCAAGTTGTCCGAATTTTTTTCCGTAAGCGTTTTGCCTATGTGCTAGCTTTTCTTCAGTAGGATTCCAGCAACCTAAATATACATCTATGGAGTAAACACACATAATGTGTTCTGCTCTTACTTGGAGAGTTAAAAAGAAGACATAATTCCTGCCACAGAGAAACTCATAGTCCAAGGGGTGAGAAGAAGTTTATGGGAGAGCAGCTAAATTTAAACTTGTGTTCTGACCCCTGTTTTAGTGTTATGTTATTTTTAAATTACCCATTCTTGATTGAAATCTGTCACATACTTTGATGTACCGTATAACTGTGACCCTGGCTCTATAGCCCATGAGGCTCTTCTCTGAAGCTCTTTTTTGTTCGTTTCATCTGATTCTTGTTTCACTAATAGAAGGCTATTCTCCTTAGTCATTTGTTCATTTAACAATTTTTATTGCGCGCCAGACTTTCGTTATTCTAGGTGTTGGAGATACTCAGGGAACAAACCAGATAAAACCCCTGCCCTCAGGAATCTTAATAGTCTAGTCACTTGTATTTCTACTCTGTCATGTCAAGTATTTAGTTTTGGTATGTTTAAAAGAACAAGGTATTTTAGGTACTTTCTTTATATAAGATTTTTCTAGCTAGAATCTCTTCTTCTCTCCCCTATCCTCCCCTACCCCAGCACCGCCAGATTAGTTTCCACACAACAGCCAAAGAACTCTCAATTTACAGAAGATTATATTACACCCCAACGTAAACCCCTCCAAAGGCTACCTCTTACTATTGATAATCCAGTCTTCTTCCTGGGCCCGTTTTCTATTTCTGCGACCTTCTCTCCTTTCACTCTCCCCTTGTCTTAACTCGCGTGCTTGCACTTGCCCTGCACCTTTCCTTCCCTCCTGTTTTCTTGCTTCTGCGTGATTTGGGGCTCAGCCCAAAGGTCATCTCAGAGAGGCCTCGCAGACCTGCCTATTTTCTTTTTCTCTCCCTCTCAGTAACCCTCTACCCCATTGCCCAGTATCATTTTCATAGGGTTCATAACTCACTGAAGCTGTAGACTTCACTTACATGTGTCACCTGACTGCCCAACTTCCACACGAAAATCTAAGCCTCCTGAAGGCAGGCACGTTGTCTTACCGCTTGAGAGCACTGAGGAGAATGTCAGGCACAAGGAAGTTCCTCAACAAATATTTGTTGTATGTGTGTATACATGCATTATCTTTTTACGTTTTTTGATGTCTACCTTTTGTTCCAGAAAAAGAAATGGACTACATACCCTTTCCGGGGGGGGGGGGGGGCGGGCACTTCATGTTTTTTCTTTCTTCTGTTTAGCCTTCTGTCCTTGCATTTTTCCTCTCAAAAGATCAGTTCTGTTTTAGCATTTTCTTGGGAGCACATTGAGATTCTTGTACAAAATATCATTGTGATGACTGGAAGGAAGGCTTTTCACCAGCTCTGTTTTAATTTCAAAGCTTAAAACTGAAATGCAACTAAATGCAAGGTGGTATGTGAAGAGCACATCACAGATCAGTGGGAAGAATTAATAAATGGTGTTGGGAAACTTGACGAATCTTTTGAAGAGGTATCAACCCATAACCTTATCAAACACCAAAACAAATTCCACCAACAAATCCCAGCTAAATCAAAGTATACTCAGGCAAACATCAAGTGTCTATCTGACCTCTAGTTACTAGAAGACTTTTTAATCTTAAACGTAATGGAGGAAAAATCACAGTGGGAATGACTGGTGCATTTTACTATGCCACTATTTGTAAGTAGATATGTCAAAAATAAAATAAACTGAATCAAAAGGTAGATGGAAAATGGGAAAAATATTTGTAGTGTAAGTAACTGAAAAACCAATATCATTAATGTATACAGAATCTATGCAGTTCAGTAAGAAACTTAAGATCCCATCTCAGTGGCCATTCTATCTCATGCCATGTTCTGTTGGACCCTCCTTTTCTGTTTATAAATTTTGGAACACCGTCCAGATTTCTGTTCTTCACTGTACTCATTCCCTAGAGGATCACAGCCCAGGTTCATGGCTTTACATACCACTTATGACTGAAGGGTCCTGAATTTATATCTTAGGATGACCTCTTCCTTTGAACTCCAGATTCATATGCCACTTACTAAGTATTTCCTCTGGGATGTCCCATATGTATCTCAAATTTAATACTTGCCAAACTAAACCCTTGATTCTACCTCCGCAAGTCTATCACTCCTCTGTGTTTCTCCAGCACAGTAAATGGTCAACCCAGTTGGTCAAGCCTCAGAATCACCTGCGACCTGTTTCTTTTACATCACACATCAAGTCCATCACCAAATCCTCTTCTAAATACATCCTGAAAGAAATCACCTTTCTCTCTGTACTGCTAATACCAAGTCACCACCACTAGTTTCTTCACTAGTCTTTTTACTTTCTCCCTTGCTTATAGACCCTTTCTACATAGCAGCCAGATTAATGTAAGTCAGTTCCTATCACTCTGCTACTCAGAGCCATGCAGTTACTTCCCAAAATGTATAGGATAAAATGCAATGCCTTTTCGATGGCCTACAAGGTAAGCCCTGCTTGATCTGGCCTCCTGTCTCTCCAACCCCATTTGCTACACCACCATACTTTCTGTTGCCTGTTGGACTCCAGCCACACTGACCTGATTGCTATTCCTCAAGCAAACAAACATGTTCCCACTGCAGTAGCTCTGAACTTGCTTTTCTCTATGTCTGGATTCTTACCTAAGAATCCCCATGGCACACTGCTATTCACTCTGTTCCAGTATCTTCTCTTCAGAAAACTTCTCTTTGACTCCCCTATCTAAAATAAGGGACCCCTTTACTCTGGTTTCTACTTATTGTTTTTGTTTTTGTGTTTTATAGCATTCTTACTACCTGAAATGGTAAAAACATTATTGGCTTGTTTTTTGTTTTTATTGTTTGTTTCTTGCACTGAAATGTAAACTCCACATTTTGTCTCGTTAACGTTATATCACCAGCACCTAAAATAGTGTCTAGAATATGGTAGGCACTCAATGAAAAAATTTCAGAGAGCAAACAAACATTCGAAAGGCTATCCACCTTTCAAATTAGAAAATTGAAAAAATAGGGGCACCTGGGTGGATCAGTGAGTTGAACATCCCACTCAACTCTTGATTTTGGCGCAGGTCATGGTCTCATGGTTCCTTCATTCGAGCCCTACTTGGGCTCTGTGCTGACAGTGGGGAGCCTGCTTCATATTCTTTCTCTCTTCCTGTCTCTCTGCTCCTCCCCCTTTGCATGCGTGCATGCACTCTCCCTCCAAAAAAAAAAAAAAACAAACTTTAAAAATATATATAAATAAAAAATAAATGAGCCAGAGATGACTAAGTCCCAGAGATCTACTGTATAGTATAGTGCCCATAGGTTATAATAATAATATATTAATTAATATATATTAAAAGTTTGCTAAGAGGGTTGGTCTTATTCTAAGCATTTTTATCACAAAAAAAAAATAAAACAAAGAGGGAGAGAGAAAACTTTTGGAAGTGATGGATATGTTTATGGCATAGATTGTGGTGATGGTATTATAGATGTTTACTTATCCCCAAACTCATCAAGTTGTACACATTAAATGTGCACAGCTGTTTGTATGTCAGTTATACCTCAATAAAATGATTTAAAATAAATGAATGAATGGGCAAGCTAGTACTGGTGAAGGTGCATGGATACCCTTAATTCTTGATAATCTTGCCAAAGAATTCTTCCAATTCTGTATGTAACCCTTATAACTACCACGTTATGGCCTGGAGGTTTGTTTACCATGTCAGTATCACCACTTTACCCATCATCAAAAGCCCCTGTAGCTGTGATACCATTGGTAAAGTCCATTTCACTCTTTAAGGCCAAAGATGCTCTTACCTGGCTGGGCCCTTCAGCCATAATTAGCCTTGCAACTACTTTCTTAGCTGTTTAGAAGCTATTAAAGAGTTAATGCATTGGAGCTGTCACTGAGTAGCAAGACAGAGATGGGAAGGATCCAGAGGAGTATATATACTCATGGGGGAACCCCCAGCAGTGATCAATGAATAGAAAATAGACAGGAGACAGGCAGACACCTGAAAACCAGGGACGTAATACCTGCTATATCTATGGTAATGGACTTCTATTTGTGTTGCTTATCCAAATAAGGGATAAGGATGCAAAGATGACATGTGATTTCATGGATAAGAATATCTCTAGAAATCAAGAAGCCTGATTTCTCGTCTCTGCTTTACCATGGATTGCTATAATTAAGTCTTTAAAAGCAAGTGCCTAGGTATTTTAGTGGTAGATTTTCCATTACGTGTGTGCATAATATTCACTGTGCTCTGATTTTAC